TCACACACACACACACACACACACACACACACACACACACACACACACTTAAAATTGACAGGCTCCACACTGTCGTTCCCTGTCAGTTATATCTGACTGTAAGCCTTCCATGTTAGAGTGCACCAGGGGGGAGCTCGACCTGGGGATGGCTGCTGCCATGGTGGATCTTTATTTTGATTTGCACTCTAATTGACCCAAATAAAGACTACTGTACCACGAACAGAAGTTGTCTACTGGCTATGGCCTCGAGGGGACGGACCTGCACGTGAACACACACATGCACAAACACACTCACACACACACAGAGAGGGGGGGAGAGCATCAGCGACGACTGACGCAGAAAGACAGCAATTCTCGTTTCCTTGGAAAACCCCATTTGCCGTTGTGCTCGTCCAATCGCTGGGTGCCCTCGGTTCGTTAGGCGTTTGACTTGACGTTTCACTGTCTACTACTGCGTCGGTGTCCCTGTCTCCCTCGCCTCCCGCTGGCACCGAGGAGATCCCCGTCCCGTCTCTGCCATGACTCCACATCAGATCACGGCGCAAAAGCAGCGACGCTTGAAATGACTGCTTGGATTTTTGGTTGCCTTAACTCACAAACAACACAGGACCCGCTCGGTTTTGCGTGAAAGCACCGTCAACTTGGGGGGAAAACAAAACAAACAAAAAACATGCAGGAGAAGCTATCGGACAACCAGACTTCCACTTCATCGAGGGCGTCGTCGTTTTTCATCGAGAACCTACTAGGCCAGGGACGGAATGGACATGAATCGATGTCGGACAGGAGTCGTGGGGGAGCTGCTGTGGAGACGGGGTCCGCCGGCCGAGTCCTGAAAGTACATCAAGCCGACGTGAGCGCTCCAGCGCCGGATGGCTCCAGCTCCACCGCTCGGTCCCCGTACAGAGACTCGCCGTTGAAGTGGTACCGCGGGGGAGCTGCCTTAAACTTCAGAGCGTTGGAAACGCCACATAGTGAGTAGAGTGTCGCTGTTATGCGTCACTGAAAATAGATGATAATTTTCCTGAAAAAACTGCAACGCTACTAATGAAGCTGCAGCATATTAGCCCGCGTGCAACATACGACGCACTCTGTAGACAGTTTGTTGCAGCTACTGTGCTGTCAGCAGGGCTGTATGAATAGACGCTGACCATCATTTTTCATTTATTTTTGCTTCAAAAATAATAATGAATAATGTGAATTTCACGGAGTATCGGAATCAACACATGACAACAGAGTTTTTAAAGTTAAAGGAACAGTACTTATCGCATACCTTTCTATTTTTATTTACATCAATAATTTGGTATTATTCACAAAGTCAGGCCGTTTATTTATTTGTGCACATTTATCAAAGGTTCTTAGAACCACGAGTTAATAAAGCCAGCTTTGATTCGCTTCGTTAAATAAAAGCAACAAAGTCAGGGCGAGTCGAGTGTGGAGACTGTTGTAGCCGTGACTCTGCTAACCGTTCACCCACCCTGAGCTCACCGAGCTTCCCACACCCGTTTAAAGGATACGGAACACGGGCATCGATCTGTAAAACCCACTAAGCCCCAGTGTTTTTCACGCGTGATCACCGTAAGCGTAATTCGTCCTCTGCTGTACAAAAGCAGAGGAAATTTCATGCTTGTCACGAGATCCGTGTCTCGGTCTCAAGATTACGCACAAATGCCAGTAAATCCCCAAACAGATGGCGCAGTAGTGTACGTCAACGTGACGCTTTTACGCATGTCCAGTGTCATTTGTCCCACTCACAGTCGCCCTAACATCACAACTAAGTGCCCCTCCTCTTGATGCCTATGCGGTCGGATACTTTGATTTTAACATTCCAGTACCAACAGCCTGGTGCACAGGAGATGGAAGCCCCTGGCCAATGCAATAGCCCACACAAATCAGTACTCGTTCGATGTCATTATTAAGTTATGAATTGCAAAGAACTAGTCGGGTTTCCTTCGGTAGACTGTTACGCTATTTATCTCATCTGCATCACAATCGGGCCTGACACAGCATCCTCACATGGATCATGTTATACGCAATCACATCAAAACGCCTAGTTTCCCCATGCGCACCTGTCCGGTAACGGATGGGTTGCAAAATACAAATGGCATTCAAAGTGAATTAAAATGTCCAAACATGTCTTTATGAAAACGTCAGATAGGAAACGTTTGATCTCTTCTAACTTGTCCGTCCTTTTCTTCTGATGCAGCAGTTTGTATTTCTTTATTCCGATGGACTGAATTATTCCGCCGCATTTAAACGCATTGAAGAGGGGAAGCGTTTGTTTTAAGGCCAACAAACATCAGAAAGCTGCGCTGGGGAAATGTGCTTTGAATGTCACTCATGTTCCTGCTTTTGTTCTCCTTTCAGGTCCAAGAGATAACACAAGTTCAGACGACCACTGCTGCTCCATATCGACCAGTGACAGGTGCTCCCCCGCCGTATCTGAGCCGATAACGGAGGGCAGCGACGAAACTGACAGGAAAACAGCCGACAGTAACCTGACAGACGACAACGAGGACACGCATAACGGGTTTGATGCGCGGTCGGAGCTGGACGCATCCTCGGACCCAAGCTCCACCCGGAAGAAGAAGACCCGGACCGTGTTCAGCCGCAGTCAGGTATTTCAGCTGGAGTCCACCTTCGACATGAAACGGTACCTGAGCAGCTCGGAGAGAGCGGGACTGGCAGTGTCTCTCCACCTGACAGAGACTCAGGTCAAAATCTGGTTCCAGAACCGGAGGAATAAATGGAAGAGACAGCTAGCGGCGGACCTTGAGGCTGCACACATCCCCCACTCGACCCAGCGGATTGTCAGGGTCCCCATTCTGTATCACGAGGGTCCCGGACCATCTGCAGCACTGGGTTTCACCCTGAACGGACATCTTCTTTCTCCAGCAGTCGCGGGCTTCTCCAGCTACCCTCTGTCCTCGTTCGCTCACTCCATGAGCATGTTGCGATCACAGATGACCGGCTTGGTGTAAAGACTGTCGAAGACTAATATGCCAAGCTGTGTGTTTATAAGATAAATTCACCCATACTGAGTCGTGCAATAACCCACAATGCCGCAGAAAACCGTTGACTGCATCCAAAGATAAGAGCCGCAGAGACATGAAGACGCAGTAATGGATCATCTTATCTCATAAGCCTCCACGGGAGCGTGCTTCTGTCACAGAATACCAAGCAAGGCCGAGAGCAAGAAAAGATGTTCGTACTGTAGCCTACTGTATGTTTGAATACACACATATTTTTGCAAAGTTTTATATTTAAAGCCACACAATTTTCCACCTTTGTCACTTTTTCCACATAATAAAAACAACAACAATCACTCAATTGTCTGCTTTTCTGTTTATAAATACTCACTGAGCTCAAATGCGTCTGTCAATCATAACCATGAAGCGTCACACAGAACAGTGTTTGTGCACATGCGCGGTGACACAGAGAGAGAACAACGTAGCACGAGACTGTTTAGGAAATGACAAAGTTAACATACGCTTGAAGTTTCTGCTACAATAGGCCTCTGTTACTGCTATCCACGCTCCTCCATATCATCTGAGCGTCTAGTTCATTAAATAATCCATTAGAAAAAATAAAATATTGTTTGCCCATCAGTGATATGTAAAAAATATTTTTTAAATAATCAGGATACAAAAATGCAGAGTCTCATTTCCATCTCATTTGACTCTGTTTTACCGGTTCGCGCAGACGTTTTAAATAACTAATGCCAAGCAGCAAGTTGTGCTCTTGTGTTGATTAAATATTCCTAATAAGTGGAAACGCCTCCTGAATTCCACTCTGCATGCGGACCTTTATTTATGCAAAAATTACGTGATTCCAACCCGTTAAAGATACATTAAAAATCCGGATGGACAATGGCTACTCAAAATAAATATGACGCTAACATTGTAGAACAGAAACACGAGGTTTCGAGTGATTCACATGTCACCGTTTTAAATGAGCAAATAGCCTTTGACCTGCAGATACTATGCAGACAATAAATGATTCCTTATGAAGAAAAGATCCGTTTTTAAATGCAATAAGGTTACATAGTTTCAAACGTGAACAAGAAACTGTGCTATCATTTTACTAGGCTATATAACCTCACATTGTTTTAGCTAAAATGCAGCAATTTCAACTCACAGAGACAAAAAAATACTCCAATTATAAAAACAAAAAAAGAATGCTTTTGAGAAATACTATTATAAAATGCCACAGATAGACACACAAAGCAATGACACAAATGATAATCTGATTTACGTTCAGATTTCAAGTTGACAAAATTGTTTTCAACACCAACATCTGACTCCAGTTGAGCAGCCGAACTCCAGAAAGAATGCAGGCTAAATCAGAACCACCATCAATCGTGTGTCGCAGCGCACATACAGCGCGGTGTGAAATAACAGCGACATTAAACGCTTTATTTTCCTGAGGGACCCCTGCAGAGCTCCGGACCGGGTCTCCTTGCAGCAGATGTAGGAGGGTAAAGGGGTCGAGGAGAGGAGAGGGAGGGCACAACAACACTCTCGTGCCCTCCCCTCTCATCCCATCCCCTTTATGTCATAGGTCCGCCGGCCTACTGCACGCTCCTCTGGACCAATCAACGAGTACAACGCGCTCCATCCGGTGCGTGCGGTTAAGGTACATGCAGAGCATCAACAGCCCAGCGGTGTCTGCTCAGTGGCTGCTGCTATGGTGCGTGGAGCATCGAGACGTTAGCGGTCATATTAACGTCCCGGTTTAGATTTAAAGGCGAGCAGAGTTGCGGAAGTAAACAAAAAGAAAAGGACTTAAGCCTTGGAGAATATGAACAAAGTGGACGCACCATGCCGACCCGCCGCCTCTCTCAAATTCACTATTGACAACATCCTCAATCTCAAGACGAGCGGGAGGAACTGGGACGGTCGTCACCCCGCCGGACTGCGGGATGACTCGGCCACGGCGATGCGTAAAGACGGTTTCCAGAGTCACCACGACGAGCATGTAGTCCAGCAGCGCCAGGACCCGGGCTGCAGGCTTAACGAGAAAGGTAAGAGGGTTTTGGTGAATTCGTAGCGGTTTGTGGGCCGCGTGCAGAGACTTTGTGTCATCCGTGTTCACCATAACGCACCGCGCTCATCAGATGTTTCAGCTTAATGTAGCGGCACAGTTGAGACTTAACCACAGCGGGTTAAACGGAGTGTCATTTGTTCGCAGAGTTGATCACAGACTGCAACGGAGCGACGGAGTCAGTCATCAGCCGCGGAGACCCGAAGAAGGCGACGGAGGTTCGCTTCGAGAGCGGGGACAGCAGCTGCGACGACAGCAGCTCCACCACCACGGCCACGGACACCCACAAAGGGGGCAGCCCTGCCAAGAAAAGCAAAATGATAACGAAAAAGAAAACGCGCACAATTTTCTCCAAGAGACAGATTTTCCAGTTGGAGTCTACCTTCGACATGAAACGCTACCTGAGCAGCGCGGAGCGCGCCTGCCTCGCCAGTTCCCTCCAGCTCACGGAGACCCAGGTGAAAATATGGTTCCAGAACCGCAGGAATAAATTGAAACGGCAGATCTCGACCGAAATCGACGGAACTGTTACCGATTTCCCCGAGACTGGAAAGCCCATGGTGGTGGGGCAGCTCCCGGCCTTGTACAAAGAGAGCAACCTGCTGGGCAGATGCCTGCTGCCCATGCCTCTGCCCGTGGTGTACCCGGGGAGTAGCACGCCTTATCTCTGCTTCACAAACGCCAGCAAGTACTTCAGTCTGTACGACGGGGACGTATGATGATGATTCATTCCCTCACGTGAAAGAGACGCTTTTTGGTGGTCTGTTGCCAAGTTTCAAGCAAGGTGTTTAGATGTTGGGTCGGACCCGCGGCCTTACTGTCTGTGAAGACTGCAAGTAGGCTACACCCACGGAGGAGTAGTTACATATCACTTCAAAATGAGCTGACTCGGTTTGATTTATTTTTCCAGTCAAAGCTGTTGGTTCCGGATCGGCCGGCACCAGACCTGCTATGACACAGAACACAGAGCCGTTTTTAGGAAATAACAGGCTCAGCTAATGATAGCCTGAGGGAGGCCTAAACATTATCAACCCTTACATTTATTGTTTACATGACATAGCATAATTATTATTATTATTATCATCGTTATTATTATTATTATTATTATTATTATTATCATTGACAACAGCATTTCCAGCAGCCTATAAGCCACCAAAGAAATTACTATAGCCAAGCTATTTGCATGCATTTCCTGTATTATAATGAATTTTGAATTACTGAAATTATCTATGTATTTAAATGAATGTAATTAACATTTTATTATGTTTCACGCATGTCAATTTTTTCTGAGCATCCTACTATTCTTACTTTATTCAACGTTTGCCTTTCGGCTCATTACACCAGTTATTGAAACTGTAATTAAAACATCTTCATTCAAGAAATATTTTTACAGAATTATTCACTATTTTGTTCTGAACTTTTTGTCATTGTATTTTTTATGAAACTGCAGATGATGAGGACACAATGTATGTTAAGTGATTCAAACATGTAAAAATGGATTTTATAGATAAATGAATATAAGAAGACTTATGGATTGAGCAGCTATCAAATAAAAATTGGCAAAATATTAAAATCGAATCAAGAACTTAAACATTTAGTGTCAGTAAAGGTCCCTTAGCTGAAATCCATCTTAAACGAGACAATGGTTGCTAATCCAATAGAGCCAAAGTGCTCTATAGACACACTCTCCTAACTCAAGCCTCAACGTGCGTTAAACAGCATGCTGTTTTAAATTGGGGCCAAAACTGTGGTATAAAACATGCATAAAGTCAGAATTGCTTATCAAATCTGTAACTAACAGCTTGATAGCATATTATAAGTAAACAAGACCATTTCAACTGTAATAATATCAGTAAGTTTGGATAAAATGTACAAACTACAGATGTCAATATCAAAATCTAAATATTTATCTGTAACTGGTCATAAGCGGCATATTAAGATGTAAACTACACATTTGGAATACCAGATTGGCAATATGATATGCCACTGATTTAGTTCTTTGTTGAGAAACCAAAAACATTTGGACAATGTACAGTACAGTACAGTATGACATGTGGGTCAATAAACACATTCCCTGCATGCAGGAAGTGGTACAGACAGGAGGTGAGACTCATCCCCGTATACGTTTCTGTCTGAAAGCTTCCACATATACCCGGCATATTCACACAAACTACACAACATCGTGAGCGACACAAGCAACTCATTTTGTTATTTTTAAGAAAGCAAAAACATTTTGGGAAAACGAATCCCTGCAGGAAGTGGACCTGCAGACGGGAGGTGACGCTGTCGCTTCCTAACTTTCTGTGTGAGACAGTGTGTAGATCCTCGAGCTGTCTCCTCCACGCTGTCGTACCAAAGCCACAGACCGACCAGCAGCCTCAGCAGAACCCAACCAGCAAAGGCTCGTTCCTTACGGACTCGCTTTAAATCACATCACTGAACATGTGTTGAATGTGTGACTCATGGTCACCGAGAGCAGTCCAGGAATAAAAGACAAAAAGTCAGTAACCAGCAAAGACAATATCAGGAGGATCCGTTGCATTAATGTTTCCGAAAGTAAAAACATCAATAATTATAAAAAGTTTACCTAAATGTATTTCCGTAACTGATATAACCTGCAGATCGATCACGTAAACTCCACATTATGGTAAATAGGCAACATGACATGAGTCTGGTTCCTCTTTAAAAAGCTAAGACATTTTATTAAAAATACTCTATTTATTATTACATAAAGACTCATTGTACTGACCAGTCTGATAAAGGCTTCAGAGTGTAAAGTTCTCATTTTTGGAAACTGCAGTGAACGGTTTCATCCTCATTGGGCCACAAACTTGGACTTGCAGGATTTGTTAGTGCAGAACTAAACTGCATCCAAACAAAATATAATCTAAAATAAAATGATCCGACATTAATTGTCACAGGATGAAAAAAGGAATCACGCCATTTTTTTTTCCCACTAATGGAAATCCACTTTCTGCATCGACTGAACTGAAAGTCAGGTGACCTGATGGGTGCTGCCCTCTGTGCACTTTGACACAACACTTACCCTTCACACGCATCAAGCATTAAATCCTACGGACCAGAACCTTAAAAGCATTAAACAGCAGATGCACATTGATGAATAGTTATTAAATAGTTATTAAACATTACAAACCAGGACGCTATTTGTTCATTATCGACCCCCAAATAATAAAGAAATCATTTTCATGCATTATTATGTGTGTGATTCAGACACACAGTGTGTGTATCAATTCATCGAAGACGAGAGGCCTGTTATGTCCAGCAGGCAGTCTCGAGTTTCAGAGCTGCTAGAGAGAGTCACACCGCTGCTCAGTACCCACAATCCCTGGCGGCTATCCGCTCAGACATGATGGCAGACTGTCAAGATGCAAGGTGTGGCCAAATGGTATGTTATTAACATTTAAGTTGTATTTAATGGAGACATAAATTGCAGATCATACTATCTTAAAGGCACTCGGGCGGGAACTTCAGACTGCAGAGACCAAGGTAAAAAAAAAAGTAATATAAAGTTGTATTCATTATGAATGACCTTACCGAGCACATCAGACATAAATGCACTAATTCACCAGAATGCTTTTTATAAGAAGTGCTAATTGTTTTTCAACCACTGTGCTCTTTTCATTCGTTACCATCCTCCTCTCCCATTCTTACTGTACTTGACTCCCGCCTCTTGCCTTGTCATAGCTCATCACAGTAGTCTGTGCACTGAAGCCTGACTGTGTGCGATTATGACTGAATGAGGAGGACTGAGGAGGAGAGTGTGTAACAAAGAGAGAGAGAGAGGGAGGGAGGGAGGGAGGGAGGGAGGGAGGAGAGAACCAGTTGATGAGTGTGTGTTTGTGTTGGAAAAGCTACGATCATGTTTGTGTTTCTGCATGGGTCTGTGCCTCTCTATAGCTGAGGTCTGGCTGGTCAGGAGCAAGGAAGTCCGGTTACTGTTAGTTGAAGAGTGACTCTGTGTGTGTGTGTGTGTGTGTGTGTGACTCTCCGGCAGCTCTTTTCTGCATGACTAGATGAGGCCTCTCTCTCAGCTCGCTTGTTACTATAACCTCCGTTGACCTCTCCCAGTCATCTGACAAAGGTCATCGCCCAAGACGATGGGAGAGAGGAGAGACAACAGACGGTCCCTGAACATGTTTCAGCGACATGACAGCACAGACGGACTGTCACCAGTGGGTTTGACATGAGCATCTCATACAGATTCTCTGTTTTAGGCTCTTTAAGCCAAAACAACAACATACTCAATCTGGTGGGGATTGATATCGACCACAGCTCTCAGTTCAACAATGTCTCAACAATGTTGCTCATCCTGATCAAACACAAACTGTGTCTCCAGCATCAGCTCTGTCCAGGGATTCCCCCGGGGTGTCCCGATGCAACGGAGGGCAACAGGGACCAGAACTACATGACACAGCACGTTGTACAGTAAACAACAAGGCTATTAGTTAGAGGGGGGAACCTGAGACAGGACGTCTGTGTATGTGTCACACTTAAAGACTCTTTGATGGCCTATTGATCTGCTAATTTAGTCACCCCCCCTTCTACATGGTGCAGATCGCTGGAGGAAATTGAACGATGGAAGAGGGGATGAAATCAGATAAAAGTAAGTGATACAGAGACAGCGATAAGAGAGGAGAGAGTGCAGGAAAGAGAGACGATGAGACCAGATTGGACCGAGGCCAGCCATTAATTGCAAAGCAAGCTAAGTGAGAGAGTAAAAACAAATAAAGATAAATTAATGAATTCTGTGATTGCACAACTTTTCTTACTTCATTGTTTAAACTGCTGTCCACAACAAGATTCACAAAAGGGCATTTATTATCCGTGTGTGACAGTTTAGCAGGTTAACATGATGCTGTAAACTCAAACGACAAAACGTAAGTAAATAAAAATAACCTTTATTTGGATATTTTACTTCATAAGCTTGCATTTTGGATATCCAAGCTTTTCATCTATGCAGCTACAATAATGTGAACAAATCCATTGTTACTCAGATTAAAGTATTTTCATCGTTCTTCAGGCAAAACTACAGACAAAACAAAAACTAAATAACCCAGCTGCATGAAATATTTGTAAAATAATCTCCATTACATTTCAGACACACACACACACACAAACCGTGTATCAATTAAACAGCATCGTCTCCCACGCCCTCCCTCACGTCCTGTCCCATCAGACACTCCTGTCGGGGTAATGTGCCATTAATCTACCACTGAAAAACATTATTGGCCAATCAATAGGTAAGATGGAGGGATGAAGGCAGAGGAAAGAGGAGAAGGAAGGAGGAGAAGGACAGGAGGCAGCGGAGGGATGCTCTAAGTCTGGGGGGCGTTTGAGCGAGGGAGGGGGGGGGTCAACACTTATCCATAACACCAGAGAATGAGCTTCACTATTTGCAGACGTGGAATACTCAATGTGGTTTCATGCTGACAGTCAATATAGGGCCATTAACAGGAGCTTCACATCACATCCGTTAAAAAGTGAGAGTCACAGACAAACATCACACTGTTGAGTTAACAGCAACACAATGCAATGTTGTTGTTGGTGCATCAGTTTGGCACAAACATGTACATTTAGGCCTCGTCCACACATACAAGGTTATTTTAGTTAACGTAGCGTTTTCTATGCGTTTTGGCCTTTTGTCCAAACAGCATTTTAAGATACTTAAACAGAGCTTTGGAACTCTGGCCAGGTTGAAGAATCTCAGTTTTCCCCGTCTACACGTCAACAACAGAGTCTC